CACCTGGCAAGAAATGTCTTAAAATTAAAATTCACTCTGAAAATGACAATCTGAAAAATAAAAAAAGGCTTTGGGCTGTGTTGTAGGGAAGGAATTTGCTAAAAGCAAATAGAGTCTGTTCTTAAAACTGTTTTCTCCACATCTGGTGCATCTTATTTACTCCTTAGAGTAGCAGGAACAAGACTGGCATGCATATGTGCACCTGGGCCACGTGTGGCTCAGAGAGACTCATGGATCTTTGGAAGCAACACACAGCAGCTTGAGCATCCAGCCCGACCCTGTCTTCTCCTGACCCTGGTACACTCACTGCCTTAATTACCATCCCGGCAAACAGACCTTACCCCATGCTTGATCCTTTAACAAATATTTGCTAATATAATGAATAAGAGTCCCAAATTGAAATGGCCCAACCATGGAAATAAATATAAAACAGCTGTCGGGGCTGCTGCTGTAAATTCCAAAGGGCGGTTCATCTTCAGCGTGTACCCTGGGAGCTTAGGGAAGAGGCGCTTCAAAGCCTCTCTGTGGATCGTTGTGTCTTCCAGAGGAGAAGCAGAGCCAGGTTGGAGATTTAACTCATTAAAACCTGGTCACTGTCAGCAAAGGTCTGAAACAGGGTCCTGCTGTTTCAGCACAGGAGCTGGGCCTGTGCCCTGACAGCATGCTTGGAAATCAGCCTCTTCGATTTCAAATGGGCTTGCCTGGCCCGTGACCCACATGGGGGCTCACACAGATGCTGCAGGTTCTGCCATTAGCCAGGGCAGGGTTGTTTGACTGTATACCTGTGATGATAGCAACTCTGCTAAGCAACTTCACAAATTAATTCGTCTCTCTTCCTTCCTTCCTTCCTTCCTTCCTTCCTTCCTTCCTTCCTTCCTTCCTTCCTTCTTTCCTTTTTGTGAGGAGGGCATGGCGGGGGTCGGGGAACTGCTCTGCTATTGAACTGCACCCTCAGGTTTCTAGTTTTTCACTTTTAAATTACTATTATCATCTTAAAGGCCTCTTTACTTTTATGCTATGTGGATGGGGCTTCTGTGTGCGTGTGTATCTGCGCACCATATGCCTGTGGAGGCCAGAGGAGGGTGTCAAATGCCCTGGGACTGGAGTTACAGATGGTTGTGAGATGCCACGTGGGTGCTAAGAATCGACCTTGGGTCCTCTGCAAGAGAGCAGCCAGTGCTCTTAACCGCGCAGCCACCGCTCCAGACCCTACTTTTTAATCTTGAGATATGGTCTTGCTAAGTTGTCCAGTCTGGCATTGAACTCACACTGTAGCCCAAGCAGGCCTTGAACTAATTTAGATTATACTGCTTCAGCTGGCTTTTTTTTTTTTTTTTTTTTTCTTTTTCCTAAGACAGAGTTTGTATGTAGCCCAGGCTGGGCCTCAAATTTATACAAATTTATAATCCTCCTTCTGCTAAGTCACTGATCAATATCTGTTGCTTCTAATTATTCTAGACCATTTGTCCCTATTGCCTTAAAAGCCATTTATAAAGAGTTCTTGTGTCTGCACATAAGAATTACTAATCAGGCGCTGGGGAAATGACTCAGTCAGTAACATGCTGGTAGGGCAGGCATGCAGACCTGAGTTCAATCCCCAGCATCCACATAAGCAGTTAAGAGTGGCTGCCTATGTCTGGAACCCCAGCACAGGGATTGGGATGCGGTGGAGACAGGAGACTATCCCCGGGGCTTGCTGGCCAGCCAGTCTAGCCGAATAGGTTAACTTTAGGTTCAGTGAGAGACCCTGTCTCAAATGCTAAAGTGGAAAGCAGTGCCCTCTGGTCCATACATACATGCATTTACACACACACACACACACACACACACACACACACACACACACACACGAACAAGAACATGTACAATACACATATACAAGCTGTCATTTATTAGCTGTTAACTGTGAGTTGCACACAAGAAAAAGACACTGATGTCACTCTATGGAAACATGTATTTATTTGTGGGGAGGCAAGCATACACTTAGAACAGTCAACAACATTTGATCAAGAGCTAGAGCTTTGGTTTGGGCCACACATGCAATAGGAATTCAGAAGATGGTAATCCCCACTTTTTCTTTTCTTTTCTTTTTTTTCTTTTTTTCTTTTTTCTTTTTTTTTTTTTGAGGTCTCACTATGTAGCCCTGGCTTTCCTGGAACTCACTATATAGACAAGGCTGGCCTTGAACTCACAGAGATCTGCCTGCCTCTGCCTTCTGAGTGCTGGGACTAAAGGCTGGTGACATCATGCCCAGCTAGGACCAACTATCCTTGTGTTAGGTTTCATCACTTGTGAAGTTGATCAGTTTTCACCGAGTGGCTCAGTTAGTTCGTGGTGCCCCTGAGGCAGGCCCTCTGTGGCGTCATGAAACAGTGGCATGACCCGCTGGTCAACAGCAGACCCTGAGTTTTCACCAAGGTCTCTGGGACATCAGGGTCCCATACTGTTATCACCCTTGCACTGATACTGAGTCCTTATTCGGGGATCCAGGATTCAATTATTCCCACATTTGCCCTCGTCTCTTCTCAGCTGTCTGATTTCTGGATTAGGGTCAGGAATGGCGTCCTCTGTGTGGGATTCGGTCTGCGGCAGAAGGCAGTGGCAGGAGAAGGGTGGCTTAGGGAAGCCTCAAGGTCCAGAGGTGTGGTGTCGCTCCTGGCTGTAGAACACCTAGAATATGGAGACTCCAGAGATACTCCTCGGGGTGAGACAGTTCACAGAGGTGGGTGGCTTTCGGCACTGGATGCATCTGACTGAGCGGTGAGCAAGAGGCACTGGGGGTGACTTGGAAGCAAAGGAGAGAGAGAGAGAGAGAGAGAACAGGGCAACCTAATTGGTCACCGCCACGGAGCTCTGCTCAGGGGACGGACAGCAGAAGCAGAGGCAATGACTTGCACACGTATTCCTGAGCTGTGTGATAGACGGAGAGGGTCCCAGATGGATTGGGCAGGGGCTTAGTTCTGGGATTATGATGAGACAGTGGGTAATTATTGACTGGCAGGGCCTCAGCCCTGATTAGTATCTGCAGGCCTGTTCCCCTCCTTCAGAGGACAGCATTGATAAAGATAAACCATGCCGCTGCTGCGTGTCCTTCATTCGGCATACAACGACACATTTCAATCTAACAGGATCAGGTCCCCACTTTGATCGCAATCTGTTACCTAGATGTCTTTGCAAATTAATCAGTCCTGCTTGTTTAGCTCCAGTCAGTTTGTACTGCTAAATTAATAAATGTACCGGGAGCAACAGAACACATAATTAAATTCTACGCTTTAATCTCCACATAATAATTTTGACCTCAGTCTGGGTCCTCTGTTCTAGCCAGGAGAATGCAGAGCCGCAGCCTTCCCTGGGTCGTTTACACTAACCACCCACCCTCAGGGTGAACTCCAGGGCTCAGAAGGTAAGAGAAATCCTGATTTAGAAATGCAAAACACAAAACAAAACAAAACCAAAAAAAAACAAAAAAACAAAAACCCAAAATACAAGGTGGCTGAGTGGCCAACCAGAGCAGGAAGGTGAACTTATCAGTTGGCATCCTGCGCTGTCTTTAAAACAGGACACACACACACACACACACACACACACACACACACACACACACACAATGTACTTAGTTCAAACACCAGGCTATCTAATTGGTGAATATAAAGTCTTGGGAGACCAGGAAGCAGCATCAGGTAACTAATGGATGAAAGCTCCTTTGAGAGAACTTGGAACCCAGGGTGGGTTCCTCATGAAGAACTGCTGTCACCAATGGTTTTACTTGAAGGTCCTCAAGTTGATACCTGCCTTGGTGTATTTTGATACCAGCCAGATTGTAAACTTCTGTAAGGTTCTACGTTTTCAGGGGTTCTTAAAAGCTTCTTCCCCCCACCCCCACCCCAAGGGTGGTTATAATTAGACAGCTATTGGGAATGAGAAAGGTGTTTTTATTTTTTTGAGGACTCTTTATTTATTCATATGTTGCAGTGCTGTGGGTCAAATCCAGAGCCTATTATGTGGTAAGAGAGTCCTCTGCCACTGAGGTGCACCAGTCTCTTATTGATCTGAAAAAGCTGGTTTGTTATAAGTTCTGGAGAGCAGGTCAAGAACGAAGTACTTGGTACTCAATCTTTGAGTTTGGGGAGGTGTCTTCCTTTAAGTTTATCATGCTGTCCCGTGTTGGTATCAAATTCTTGATTTGTAGAAGCCATGGAGCCAGGACAAGATGAAATCTGGTGGATGGATGCTGGGCCAGGACCTGGGAGGCAGGAGCCCGGGACGAGACTGGGTTACTATCCACTGATGACCTGGGTGGGACATTTCACCTTTGTGTGGCTCAGAGTTATCATCTGAAGAGACAAAAGAGTGGACTAGATAATCTGCAAGAGACCAAATCCTGAGTGTCTGTGATTCCACTCAGAGTCAAGTGGGTATTAGGGCAATTATGGAAGAGCACGAACCAAAGGGACGCTTTCCCGTCTCTCCACTGCTGGGTTCTTTCAGGAGGAACTGGTTGCTGACTGCAGCTATTAGCCAGAATTTGTAGACAACTGCTTCACTTCTGCCACTTAACTGTGTGTCTGTCATCATAGAGTTGAGATTTCCACCAGATAGCCGATGATTAAGTATTTGGTTAAATATTCAGCTGTGTGGAATTTTCATTCAGCTCTCTAAAAAGGGGAGGGCAGGGATGTGTGTATTGACAGGCCCAGCAGCAAGGAGTGGGGTAGGTGTAACTGGAGAGCGTACGATATTTGAATCACCAGCGTTTTTACCTCGAATGAACAGATTTCAGGTCAAAAAGAAAAAGAAAAGTAACTTCAATTGTCTCTCTCTCTCTCTCTCTCTCTCTCTCTCACACACACACACACACACACACACACACAAATCTCTAACATAAATTAAACATGAGGAACGCAGCTGTGCAGTAGGATGTTAAAAGACCGATGATTTCTGAGAAAATAAGGGAGGCTTGAAAGGTTTGACCCTGAAATCAATTCAGGTATTATTTACTTAAATAACCTAGTATGTATTTGTGGAGATACACCATCTGTTTTGTATGGGAATGACTTTTATTTTTATACTGGAAAAACCAGAAAATTGGGCTCACACCTGTAATTTCAACCATGAGAAGCCGAGGCAGGAGGATTGCTGGAAGATTGAGGCTAGCCTGGGCTATATAAGTTCCAGGCCAGCTTGGGCTATAGAGTAAGATGAACTTGTCTCAAAAAGGCATAGGTGGAGAGTGGGGGGTGGGGGTCCAAGGGTGTTGGGGAGATGGCTTGCCAGTTAAGAGCCCTGCTGCTCTTGCTGAGAACCCAGTTCGGTTCCCAGCACCCACATGGTGGCTCACAACCATCAGTAATTCTAGTATCGAGGGAACCAACCCCTCTTCTGGCCTCCTAGGGCACCAGACATGCACCTTGTACAATGCATACGTGCAGGCCAAACAGTCATTCACATGAAATAAATAAATCTAAAATACATTGTTTTTAGAAAGGAATGAGGGAAAAGGAAGCTGGAAAGAAAAGGAAAAGAAAAAATATCTGGTGGAGGGAGGGAGAAAGGTTTATTCATTCATTTTCTGGTCTCATTTGTAAAGATTGAAGGATTTAAAAAAATTAACAGTGGCATTTTCATGCCTCCGTGTCATTTTTTAAAAATAATAATCCATAGCTACTTACACAAAAATGAATTTCTATCATGGTTTGCCTTTAAATCTTCTAAAAGTGCCGTCAATATCATTTAAAGTGTGGAATTCCCTGAGGAAAATCTATGAAAGTGCCTGTATGTCACCCATGTGAATAACAGATGAATTAATTATGACCGGTGCAATTACAAGGAATAGTTAATGAAGCCGTAATGACCAGACTTGGGCAGTTAATTTTCAAAGCACAGTCAGAGGGAAATGTGGCAAAAGGTCCCCAAAGAAAACACGAAGCTTTGTGTGCTCACCTTGGGGGCAGGGTCCTTGAGGGCGCCGGTCAATGGAGCCTGTGAGGAAGTCTCCTCACTGAAACAGTGCTCCTTCTGCTTCCAGCTGCTTCCAGACTGGGGCTCACCTGGAGCTCAGGGGAGCCCCAAGCCTGGGTTACTTCCTTTGACTAGCGGTCCCGAGGGCATCCGTGTCTTTCTCGTTTTTTTTAGAACATGCCAAGGTGGTGGAAACTGAAGAAGTCAGTGATTATATGATTTTTCCTAAAGCAAGATCAAATTAAAATCAAGTGAGTGAAATGGCATGGGGGGGCAGGGGCGGGTAAAGAACAGAACCCAGAGGGGAGAGGGTTGGGCACAGGCTACAGGGCATGCCTGGGCCTCTCACTTCCAGAGTTCTGGTTGCTTTTCTCATTTGACAAGTAAGGAAGGAGCCAGCCGACTGAAGAATCTCCAAGAGACTCAGATTCTGCATGTCTGTGATTCATTTTTATTTCACAGTCCCGGAAGGCAATTTCAAGCCAGAAACAGAACGCCGAGCATTTTCTAGCGGCCAGGTTTGAAGAGGGAGGTGACGGGTTGTGCTACCGAGGGGGAACAAAATGGTAACTTAGGAAAACCCCGGCTCTGCGGAAACTAGAGAGGAAGCGGTGAGGTTATGGCCTGCGTCCTGCTATTTGCCTAGGAATTCACCCTCTTAACAAACAAACAAGCAAACAACACATGTACACGTCAGGTTGTGAATGACACACTGTAAATTGGGGGACACGGGATGAAGCCAGAAGCCTGCTGTCAGCTTTTGGACGTATTGCGTCAGGTACCCAGAGTTTTTCCAACAGTAAGGAAGGTGCCAAGCCTCTCTTCCTGAGGTCACAGGCTTCCTGATAAGAGCAGGGACCAGAGGGCAGCTCAGAGAGGGCTCCGACAGCAAGGTCACCACCATGTGCAGAAAGCCCAGAGGATCGGGTTCAACGTCACCGCCCCTTTCACCTCCATGAATGTATTTAATTCACCGCTGTGGATGGGAATTAACTAGTATCCTGCCAAAATAACAGCTGGCGGGATCCAAAATACACAAGAGGTCTAAGTGCCTTTCTTCCTCGGGTATTTTGATAGTGGTTTATCAGTACAATCTACATTTATATATGTGTTTTTTCAAGTTTTAAATCCATCTCAAGGTACTATCCTAGCTGCCTATCTTGGACTGGATCACCACTTCTGAATGTCAAGAGGCCTTCCCCCAGGGAGCTGATTTCAAAGATCTCAGCTGAGCACTGCCACGGGGAGACCTCTCTCTCTCTCTCTCTCTCTCTCTCTCTCTCTCTCTCTCTCTCTCTCTCTCTCTCTCCTCTCAAGTTAGCTTGCAAAATGATGGGTTCCAATATGGGGTTTTCACAGCTATGTGAAATCATATTTTATTCTAATGCACCCCCTTCCGGAGTGCCCTCCCTGCGTCTGTCTCCTTCCGTCCCCAGAATTGGCTCTCTTCCCTTTCAGAGGCAGCCCCCTTTCAGCTTTTAGGTCACGGCTATTCCCTTGCTCTCTTCTTCCTCACCCTTTCATGATCTTCTCTCTAGTGTCATGACCTGTACCTCCCACCACGTTCGTGCACACATGTATATCTGCATGCATTCATGTACGCATGTACAATCCTTAAATCCAGGTTTCACATGTCAGAGAAATGTGTGTCTTGGTCTTTTTGAGTCGTCTTTGTTATATTTAACATAAC